AAGTGAGTGAAGCACAGGGCAAGTGAGTGAAGCACAGGGCAAGTGAGTGAAGCACAGGGCGAGTGAGTGAAGCACAGGGCAAGTGAGTGACGCACAGGGCAAGTGAGTGAAGCACAGGGCAAGTGAGTGAAGCACAGGGCAAGTGAGTGAAGCACAGGGCAAGTGAGTGAAGCACAGGGCAAGTGAGTGACGCACAGGGCAAGTGAGTGAAGCACAGGGCAAGTGAGTGAAGCACAGGGCAAGTGAGTGACGCACAGGGCAAGTGAGTGAAGCACAGTGAGTGGCTTCATTGTCTGAGTGTTTCAGCTATCGACTCCGTGGTGAATGGGAGCGCGGGGTGATGATTGTGCCATCGGGGGGTGAGAGCAGCCGAGTAGGCTGGATGGAGGCACTCTTGCCATAATGATACGGGATTTTTATTCGCTCCCTCTCCCGCCCTTTGCGTCCAGTGGAGCAATTCTAGCAGCTCTTTGCGGACGATGTTCATTTCCGGCATCTTTCATCCCACCCCTCCCCTTTCTCACTCCAATGTACGCCCATGCCCGCTCTCCCTCCCAACTCCCCTCATCTTCCCACACCGGCAGCACTTGCCCTATACTACTACTGGTGAGACGCCCAACCATTTGCTCCGATAGGCAGAAAAGCAGCATGGCAGATTCGGAAAAAGTGGGTGCACACAGGTGAGGAGAGAGGCATGGTGGCGAAGAACGAGGGAGCAGCCCTTAGTGGCATTGTGTAAATGGGAGTTAGTTGCATGCTGCTCATTGCATACTGAACACACGGGGCTTTATGCTGCAAGTGAAAAAATAAACCAATAAAATGAAACAGCGAGAGTGTTTGGGATCTTCCATGCCATGAAGAATGCAGAAGCGATGGCAGTCTGGGCGACTTACTAACGCGGAGGCAACCGCGAGGAAATGTCAAGTACGCAAAAAGTTCTGCAGTAATCCCTACTCCCTTGTTGCAAACATTGCTGCTGGTCACGCCCCCCTTCTTGTTCCGTTGCGTATCCGCGCCCAGTATGGTGCTTCTGGCGTTAGTCTCCCGATGCAAAGAAATGAGCACGAGCATTGCTACTGACTAGCGCCAGCTCCTGGCGCCAGATTTCTGGTGAGGAAGAAATGATGGGGGCACTGCTTTCACATGCGCAATACTATCATCAGCTGTCTTCGCTCAACACTACGCCCTGACCTTCATTCCTCTCTCCCTACACTCTCTTTCCCTTCCCACTCCACTGGACTAGTATGTACGGCCCTCACATCACTGCGACACACAGTCGGGGGACATTTCTGGGCCACGGCCGGCAGCAGCGGCAGTGGTGGTGGTGAAGCCATAATCAGCAGTACGCCCTGACTTTCTTCCCTCTCTCCCTTGCACTCGCTCCTCCCCACGCCCTAAACCCTGCCCTGGACTAGTCGTGAGGTGCCCAGCCTGTCACTGCTAGACACAGAAGGTCAGCATGGCAGGGCCATGGGCAGCAGCAGCAGCAGCAGCAGCAGCAGCAGCAGCAGCAGCAATGGTGGAGGAGTGAGGCAGCAGCCACATTAGCTGCACTCTTATCATTCTACACTGCTCACGCAGAGATTTTCGGCGCATAAAGAGTGAAGGCGTGCGAGCGCATGCGATGCTCACATGCTGTGAGTAAAGGTAGGTGTGGGACCTTAATGTACTGTACACCATGGCCTTTCTTGTCTGCTTGAGGCTTCCTGGTGGCTCATTTGCCCTTCGCCTTATCTATCTCTCCTTGCGAATTCATGGATGCCTAACCTATCCTCTATGCCTGACCTAACCTGTCCTGTATGCCTGACTGACCTACCATGTATGCTTGACCTAGGGTGAGTGTCTGACCTAGGGTGAGTGCCCGACCTAGGGGGAGTGGAGACAAAGGACGAAGGGGTGAAAGACTGTGAGGTCTGCTGTAACATGGATACGGAAGGAGGGGGTTGGCTGGGCCCAAGTGAAGAGGCATACAACGAGAGAAACTTAGGAATAGGGAGCTTCCAGCAGTGAAATGGGAGATGCTGAAGGCCTTAGTGGGTGTTGTTGAGGGTTGTGGGTGCAGACGGTGAGAAAGGGATGGGCTGCCTGCAGTGATCGAGAAAAGGGAATGTGGGGTTTCCAAAGAGCGGAGTGATTGAGATGGATGACGGCACGAATGGTGCAATAGGCAAACTACGGGAGATGACTCTTGCATTGTGTGAGCTAATTTCTTCTAAGAACGTAGTGTATTACATGCCTTGTGTGTGCACGAAGCATGTGTATCACGAGCGAGCGGTGCACTTTATAATGACAGCATCCAAGTGTGGGTGGAAGTGCAGTTAGCAGTGCAAAGACCTCCGTTGGGTTCCGAAAACGCACATGCATGCATGGAGTAACAAAATGGTGAGTACTCATAGATTATTGCAAAACGTGCCTTTACTTACCCTCGATGCAGTTGTGCAAAAAGAACTTGACTCCTCGGACGCCTTGTCTCCTCTGGTGCTCCTGTTTCACTCACAATCGCTCCTCATGCCTTTTCAGGCCTCCGGTTATTCATGTGGCCCTTAGACAAACAGGTGTGCAATCCATCGTAGCATTCTTGTACATTTTTTGTGAATCCAAGTACACTTCGCATCTCCTCTCTTTCTTCACGTGCTTCCCCCTTAATACATTGAACCCAACCCCACACATCCTTTTCCATTTCTCTTCCCTTCTGGCAATCAAGAAAGCTTCGTTGTTTTCCAGCCTGCCCATTCCCGTCATCTTCTCTCCATCACCTCTCCCTTCCTTTCCACACGTGTCTCATATAATCAACTCGCTCTCGTGTATAAAAGGTCACCACCTTAAATAGGTACGTATGGGTCTGCTTTCAATTACAGGTGATTCATGCGACCAATCAGCCGTGCCTAGATTCCAGGACTAGTCAATCCCTTGGATGGGGTAGGTACAAACAGGATTGCCTTACGTAATGACATACCAGTAAGCCTGCTGTAATCTGGTCGTCAGCTTTGGGAGTGTAGGGCTGTCTTGCAATCCTCCCTTCCCCTTCCCGCTTTGCTCCTGTTTTGCGTCCCCCCTATTCTATTTCGTTACACCCGCTCCTCCGATGTCCATCTCCTTGTCTCCCTCCTCCCTCCCTTTCCATGTCAAATGTACTATACTCTCCCCTCCCTCTCTTTTCCCTAACCATCTCACCTCGTTTCCCCACCCTTCCCCTCTCCCTCCACTTTGGTGTTTGACGGGGGCAGTAGAGAGGCGACGCACGCACTCCAATCGCCTTTGGAATTCATGTAGCCTTATCCCACAATAAATGTCTACATGAAATCATGTAGACATAAGGGATATTCCCAACCCCCCCCCCCCACCCCACCTTCCCTTCCCATTCCGCACCCCTCCCATCCCCATGTTTATGGAAAGGGGGTAGGCGGGGTGGGGGGAGGGGGCGCTGGTTGAGTACGTGGAGATTCTCCTCGCCACGAAGACATGGTGTGGTGGAGGGCGCTGATGTGGGTGATACGGCAGAATCACTAATCCAGAGTGGTGTAAACTGGCAACCATAAAAAGGTCTTCATGTTACCTGAAGCTGCCTTGCTTGTTCGGTGTGCCAAGTGTTGGATTGGGGGTACGCGTCAACAAGAATAATGCTGGGGCATGTGGACCCACATCTCTAATCCCACATCCTTCCATCCTTATCCTGTCTTTTTCTTTGCCACTCTCGTCAAAATTCTTTTCTGATTGTGCATCTCAACAGGAAAATACAATGTAAGAAAATCTTACAATCGCTGTGCAGATTAGCTGGTCACATTGTTTCTACAAATTAGCCGGACACGAAAGATTGCTACGGTATTTTTCCACGTGCCTGAGTGATATTGAAAGATGGTTGAGTAGGGCTAGGTAGATAGATATCAAACGATTTCATGATAATATCAATGATAAAGTATCATCATATCCAACACTAAGCAGTATACACCGTATGCAGAGTCTTGCCCTATAAGCTTACTGTAAAGGTCACGCGCGTGTGCGTGCATGCTTCTCCCTATTCTGTGGCCTCTCTTCCCCACCTTCGTCAGTACATCTCCCTACCACTATGGGTGCAGCAGGATACCATCCCGCCTAGACAACACAATATCCTCCAACCAGTCCCTGCAACCTTGTTCATACCCCATTGATGGTCCAATGTAGCGCATAGACAGACTGTTCCAACTGTAGTTGAAAAGAAGTATTGCAGGCCAACTTCCTAGTATGTCACTGCCAATCTGCCCTCACGTCCCTCCCCTCCATCACTTCCTGCCCACCCTACCTCCCTATCCACCTGCGCACATTCTCATCGTAAACAAATTCTCCATTTGGCAGCCTGAGAGTTGACAGCTTGGTCAGGGCACTCAGCTGCTGCAGCCCATCATCCTGGACTGCCGTCAAACCTAAATAAAGTTGCTCAAGTTGTGTCAGCCTCCCCACATGCACCATGCCAGCATTCGACACTCCCTTACACATGGAAAGAGTTAGCACTCTGAGAGAGCCAAGACCAGTCATGTGCGGCAGAGCAGCATTAGTCACCTTAGTTTCATGGAGATAGAGGTGTGTGAGACTGGTCAAGGACCCAACGCCTTTCAAGGCACTGTCCGGGACGTCCGTTTTCTGAAGTTTTAGCGTCTCCAGCTGTGGCAGCCTGTAGAGGTGCTTCATGGCATTGGCACTGAAACCTGAGCTAGATTCCAAGTCAATGCTCTTCAGATGCGTCATCGTGGACACATGGGCTAGCACGTCGTCTGAGAGGCAGTTGAGGTTCATCAGACTCAGCTTCGTTCCTCGTGATGCTGCCTTGATTTGCTGGAGGTGATGGATGACAAGAGGACATGGATGACAAGAGGAATGACCGTCATGACAATGGCAAACAGCACATGCCGTTCCAAATAAGCCACTCAGCACTGACCTTCCATGCAGTCTTCTGTTGGCCTTCACGCTCCCTGATTTTCAGCTCAACAATCAGCTTCGGATCTTGACTGATAACGTCCTTGAGTTCAGCCAGCTCCTCCTTCACTGCTGCCAGCTCCCTCTCCCTCTCCTCCACCTGCCCTCTCAACTCCCTCATCTCCGCCACTCCTCTCCTCTCAGCCTCCTCCAGCTGCAATGTCGTTGACTGCTTGTGCTCACCCAACTCCACCTTCACTGCTGCCAAGTCTCTCTCCCTCTCCTCCACAGCAGTAGCAGTCGCCTCATACCTCTCCTCCAAAATGGTCAGCTTCTGCTGCAGCTCATCCACCTCATCCTTGTGTGCAGCCAGCTCCCCTCCCACTGCTGCCAGAACCTGCTCTTTGATCACATCAATCACGACCCCCATCACCCTCTCGGCAGCCATGGGTTCCAATGGCCAATTTTTATGATTGATCTTTGTAATCAGCCACCTCCTTCACTGCAGCCTGGCGAAAGCAGACAACGCCTGAATAGGGTAGGGCAGGGTAGGGTAGGGCAGGGTAGGGTAGGGTAGGGTAGGGTAGGGTAGGGTAGGGTAGGGTAGGGTAGGGTAGGGTAGGGTAGGGTAGGGTAGGGTAGGGTAAAGTGGATGCTTGCATGGGCGTAAGGGACGAGACAGCCATGTGAATATGAGAGGAGATAAGGAGCATACATATTAAGCGAGAGGCTTGGTGACACAACGTGGGATAATGGTGATAATGGCTCAATCAATCACTGCAAGGAGAAGCTTGAGCACACATGCACAAGGGGCAAGAAATGAGAGCAGGGACTGCCAAAAAGAAATCCTGCAAATGATAGCAGCAAGGCTTGATGTATGCACAGGGCGGTGAGCAGCAGGTTGAATAGGTGGTAATGTGAAAGCGGTTCACTTCACTCCAACTGACGAGGCGTGAAGGGCATGTCCCAAGTAGAGACAGGCATATATTGAATGAAATAATAGCACAGTAAAGGCAAGCCGACGCGAGGAAGTGACCAGGTTGGAGAGGTACATAGCACGCAGGTGGTTTAGCTTATGTTGCAGCATACTCAGGCAGCCAAGAGTTGGGCAACAAGCTTTACACACATAATTACGCAAAAAGCTTGTCCAGGCCCACACTTGTGCCGTTAATCTCATTATCCTAATCCGTCGCATAGCCTAAACATCTTCACGTTAAGTTGGTTCACTAGGCAACCCACCAGGTGTGCAGCGTCTTTGCAACAAGAGCAGACTCGCGGGTAGTGTTAAGAAAAAAACAGTGTCTGAGAAGGCAAATTGTAGGAAAAGGAAGAGGAGAGATATAGAAAACTAGAGAAGCAAAGACATAGATAATATCTGATTCTAAACCAGATTGTTGTATCCATTGTGTGTACGGATATTGACACTTGCAACACAGCTTCACAACATGCAAGTAGGCGAGGCGAGGGTCACAAGAAGAGGCTGTGAAGCCAACAACAATAGGGCAGAATGAAAGCCAGGAGGAAACGGGGATGGCAAGATGCTACATGAGGCGGTGGAGAAGCCATGACCAACAAGGCAAATAGCTCAGCCTGACACGATGAGGCTCAACAACGATGACATGTAACGTGGCCCTGCGAAATTTATTCCTTACCAGTCGCGTATGTGAGGGAAGATGGAGCGAGCACGCAAAGGGACGTTCTGAAAGTATAGGGCGCGGCAGAATGGAAGTAGCGAATAAATGTCATATTATGAGTCAGAAATTGGCAGATCCAAGGCTTAAGAGTCGGCTCTGCTTGAGCACGGTGGGCTGCCATGCAAAAACGTGAGCAAGGAGAAGCAAGACGCAGCAGGACAGGGGAGAGAGGGTGCAGCGGCTAAACCAGGGGAGGAAGGAGGGAATAATGAGGAGGGGGGGATACGCAGCAGGGTAAGGACGCATAAGCAACAGCAGCGTGGGGGGGAGGTGATACGGAAACAGAGAGGGATGACAGGAATGCACTGAACGCAGGGAGACGAAGAGGTGAAACGGTGTACAGGCTAAGGGTGTAAAACGGCTAAACTGAAGATAAAAATGACGATAACAAAAAACACATTATGAATCCGGTGGAAAGTGGATGGAGCTGAAGGTATGTGCGCCTTTGGAGCTGAAGGTATGTATGCCTACCTACCTTGTAGGATGAGTGCAGAACGAATGAATGAATGGAGTGTAGCACCTCAGGCAGCAAGCGGGAATGGGTAGCAAGAAATCCTGCAGTTGGAAGCAGGGGAGGAGGTGCACAGAGTACAGAAGCGCAATAGGAGGGGTTTCGAGGGGTGGGTGAACAAGTGGCGATAATTAACAGTTTCACCTCTTGTATCACATAATGATCCATTAGAACAGCAAAGCGATTTTTTGTGAAACATTGAGTGTGAGTGGCGGGCTGAGCAAGAGGGGAGAGCAAGGAACAAGACTGCACTACAAGAGGAACGGAATTTCATGTAGAAATCATGGTAGATCCAAGCGTGCCACTGCACTGAGCAAGCAATGAGCTCAGGCAAGGTTGAAACGGGAGGAGCAGGACTCATGGGAGGGGAGATAGGATGCGATCCAATTGAAAGTGAGGCAGGACGCGTTCCCCTTGATTTTCAGTTAGTAGAGTGGCCGTGCGTACCTGGTGGTGTCGCGGTGGCAGGCGTGTCAGATCGCAGCAACGAGCTGCCAGATCGGAACAAGACGCTTCGTAGCAGACCGAAAAAAAACGAGACTGGCAGCGCTCTAGACCAGGGGACGAAAAAGCAGAGAGCTTTGAGGAGACCAACCTAGAAGGCGATTATTCGGAATTCGGGCAGGGAAAACAGGCCAAAACGGATCCGAAACTGGATAAACCATTGGGGTATTGACCCGAGGGGGGAAGAAGCAGGCAGAGGAGGGAAGGGACACGAGAGGGCAGGAGGGACGCATCACCCACCTCGCAATCCCATCCGTCCATTCATCTCACCGTTTGCATCTCATATCTCCATCCCAGCCCCCATCCCGCCGTGAGGAAACGGCGGTGTTCCACCCAACCCATCATCATCTCGCGTGCGATGAGCAGCCGCAAGCGTGCCAGGCTGCACTTCACCCCCGTAGCCGTAGCCACGTGGGCAACGCATGCATTGGGTTGATCGCTTCACCCTGTCGATCGCAGTGCCTTTGCTTGCATGTTGGATCTCGCACTGAAAACTGAACGGAGAAATGTTGTTCTTGGATCTAAACGTGGCTTCATCACGTAAAACAACCGAGGCGCGTTTGCGCGAGAGTAAAAGGGTTACGGGATTCCGTTCTGGACGCCTTCGATGCACTGACACGTGGCAAGGTGACACAGACGCCTATCGAATGTGGACGGTAAGACCTGTGCTTGCTGGCGCGGATCTAGCTGTTGGCGAACGGAACGTAGCGTTCAGCGTTAGTTAGCGAGTAGCGGGGAAGATTGTGTGGAGGAAATTGGTGAAAAGGTATTTGCAATGTGAAACGCCCGTCAAGTTCAATTCGCACTTCTAACTGTTACCATCCCGATGTTTGCAAAAAAAAACGAATCTGCCCGCGAATTGAGCAGTAACCGAGACCTAATATGCTTGTCAATGTGTCGTTCGCAGGTTCAACCAGAGATGTGCCTTGAGCGAGGTACAACGCTAGGTTCGGTGTATAAGTCAAAAAAAAAAAAAAAAAAAAAAAAAAAAAAAAAAGTACAACGCTAGTGCCATCGTTCCTCCCTTACCCGTTACGGATTTGCAAACTTATTCGCAGGCGTACTTTCGCTCACGCGACGACATTTGTACGTAGCTGGTTATTCGCACTTCGTGCACACATAAGTGAATGAGGTGAATTTTGGTTACCCGTCATCACAAATTTGAAACGCAGCACGAGTCACTCGACTGCTCCCCATAGCATCTTAGCGACTCTCTAATTAGACATCTTAGCTTGGCATTACTAGTTATCTATGGCGCATTCAGATTCCGAACCCGCTTAGTAGTTAGTATCAGTCGTACGGCTGTTATTCCTCCGCTCCTTCCTCACGCATTATCTGCTCGTTTCAAAGCCATTCCAATTTCTCACTTGAGATTCGCGCAGCATTTCGTACCATTCGGTGTGTGTAGAACTCGTTGCGCCTAGAAAGCGTCATTGCCTCTCCTATCCCCACGACGCTTCAATCTGCAAAACACTAGAAACCGTTCTGAGGTAAGCTGGTCCAGTCATTCCATTCATTTCGCACCAGTTCTACCCTCGTCATCATTTCCCTCCATTCGTCGATGGTTTCGAGTCCGTTGATGCTCCTTACTCTCCGTTCCTCTCGTCCTTTGCCTCCAAATCGTCTCATTCCACGTTATCACTGACCTACCCTATCACTGACCTACCCTATCACTGACCTACCCTATCACTGACCTACCCTATCACTGACCTACCCTATCACTGACCTACCCTATCACTGACCTACCCTATCACTGACCTACCCTATCACTGACCTACCCTATTACTGACCTACCCTGAGTTGCTGTACCGTATGAGGGACTTCTTGCGACTGATCTGGCCTGTAACCCATTTAGCCTTCGAAACAACCTAGCGCCCAACTAACCAAGCTTGTGACGGACCTAGTCCGAGTAATCTATCCTGGGAAATTATGTTTAAATTTGATATGAGAAGACAAGTTTCAAGATACAGATTCGTTATGTGTTGGCGTTTTTGATAGGGATATGGCTAGCGGGACTGAATTAGGCTAGGCGCGCGGATAAGGGGAAGGAGGATATTTGTGGAGAGGTGTGCGAATGGTTGCAGTGAGTGCGGTATAGTGGATGCGTGTGGGAATATGGGTTAGGTGAATGCTGTGAGGTGTGGCTAACTCCGACTTTTTTTCTGTAGCTGCCTCAACTTCTGACTGTGCAAGCTTGTGATTAATCCGTCATCTTCGTGACCTAGCCGCTGACTGACCTAGCCTGTGTAACTGGCATAGCCTGTGTAACTGGCATAGCCTGTGTAACTGGCATAGCCTGTGTAACTGGCATAGCCTGTGTAACTGGCATAGCCTGTGTAACTGGCATAGCCTGTGTAACTGGCATAGCCTGTGTAACTGGCATAGCCTGTGTAAGTGGCATAGCCTGTGTAACTGGCATAGCCTGTGTAACTGGCATAGCCTGCGACTGACCTGACCTAGCCTTTGACTGTCCAAGGCTCCAACTTACCTAGCTCGTGACCGATCTACCTGTGATTAACCTAGCCTATAACTGTCCTGGACTTTGAGCTAAGTGACGGAAGACGCGTCTTGCGTCTAGCGTCTAGACGCAGCGTCTAGACGCTAGACGCTTGCTTAGACGCTAGACGCTTGGGTAAAATTTTTTCGGTCAGCCCGAAAAAAAAATCCCAAGTCCGAAATTGAATTTCGCGAGGGGTACAAATTGGAGGAGGGGTACAAAAT